ATTCTTGCTCAGAAAAAGGATCAACATGCTCTGAAGTCAGAGCACAAAAACCTTTTTGTAACAAAATATCGATTTCTGCTGTCCCTGTATCGATACATTATTAGCAAACAAAATATCACCATACTACACAGTATTGATTTTTCCCCCACCCCTAGTAGCTTTGAACTTGTCAAAAACGATATTTCAACATTCTGTTATTTAACATTCCCATGTGCTGCTGGACAGTTTGTCATTAATGAGCAGCAGAATCAGCTTTTAAGTCAAAACTGAAAGTTTGTGGCGTCGTAGCTTTGATCTTGCAATGACTTTAAAAAGCACTGAGTAAAGATTCAGTGTTTGTTCTCATGTGCTCGCAGCTACTTTGTTGGAATGTGTGGCGATGGCGCGAATGACTGTGGGGTATGTACACCTTCATCATTTGGACAACAGCTCTCTGTAATGGACACAATCTGACAGCAGTATGTATATAATGCTAACTAATCTCACCCAGGCTTTGAAGAGGGCTCATAGTGGGATCTCTCTGTCGGAGCTCGAAGCCTCAGTAGCATCTCCCTTCACCTCAAGGACCCCCAACATCTCCTGTGTCCCTAACCTCATCAGGTCTGTATTTTTATTTACATGCTGATCCATAAATGAATAAAACAGTATTAAGAATAAGTATCTTATAGGCTGAATTTGCAGTCTGGCAAATATACACAGTGTCGCACTATTATTCAAATGTTTCAAGGAGTTGAATTTGTTGTTCTGGTACAATTTTTTTCCAGTTATGTTGTTAAGACACAGTTTGCTTTGTTTTTGCAGGGAGGGCCGTGCTGCTCTTATCACCTCCTTCTGTGTGTTTAAGTTTATGGCCCTCTACAGCATCATCCAGTACATCAGCGTCACTCTCCTCTACTCTGTATGTAAAACTGCCTGCTTAGTTCGATGAGAAATCCAGTGAATTCAGATTTTGGTCATCTGTACCGTGTTGTTTTTGGTTTTTAGATTTTAAGTAACCTTGGCGATTTCCAGTTCCTCTTCATCGACATTGCTATCATCCTCCTCATTGTCTTTACCAGTAAGTACAACTAAAGTATCAAGGATAAGCGATATGTGTGTTTATTTGTTTTGAATGTAATAATCCTCACTATTCACTCTGCCCCTTATCAGTGAGTCTGAACCCAGCGTGGAAAGAGCTGGTGTCCCGTCGTCCTCCATCAGGTCTGATCTCAGGGCCTCTGCTGTTCTCTGTGCTGACCCAGATCCTCATCTGCTTGGGCTTCCAGATCTGGACATTCCTTTGGGTCAAACAGCAGCCCTGGTACAAAGTGTGGACGCCACTTACCGAGTGAGCACTGACTATTACTCCTAATGTGTAGCAGACAAATACCCAAATCAAATAATAACTTGGTTTCATTATAAGTTTTAAACGTTGTCATGTTATCGTGTTCCACATTTTGTCATGTTATGTTACATGATGGATTAAATTCTGCACACAATAGAATTTAATCCACCATAATGAAATTCTTGCAAATGTATTAAAAATCTAAACAAATATATAACATGTACATAAGTATTCACAGCCTTTCCCGTGACACTCAGAATTGATCTTATTGTTTCCACTGGTCATGTGAGACGATCTTGAATTGAAGGCCGCTTGTGGTGATTTCAGTTGATTGGGGATGATTTGGAAAGGCACACATGTCTATATATAAGATCCCGTGTGTCAAAGCGCAAAGCAAGCCAGGATGTCCGAGGAATTGTCTTCAGACCTCTGAGATTGTATCAAGGCACAGATCTGGTGAAGGGTACAGGAACATTTCTCCAGCACTGAAGACCCAGTGAGCACAGTGGCCTCCATCATCCATAAACTGAAGAACTTTAGTCAGGGAGGTGACCAGATTTGCAAGAATTTCAAGTAACGTTTTTTACTTTGTAACTGTGGGATTTGTGTATAATTGTTGTGTTGAAAAATGAATTTAATCCATTTTGGAAAATGCTATAAGATTCTGAACATGTGAAGCGCTGTGGTTACTTTCCAGATGCGGTATAAAAGGACCACAGAGTGAAAATGTTCTTAATGATTTCTCTGTCTTCACGCAGTGTCTGCAACCTCACATCACACGTTGAAATGGACTTTGGAAACGAGACGGAAGAGGACGAGCACAACATCCAAAACTATGAGAACACCAGCCTCTTCTACGTCTCTTCCTTCCAGTATCTCATTGTTGCTATTGTTTTCTCCAA